TCTCCTCTTCTAGGGCGGCATGCTTGCGAGCCCTGTCTAATACCTCGGCGTACGCTGTACCCGGATTTTTCTTCAGATCCTTGTATAACTCCCCCGTTCGGAGAGCGTTCGTGAATAGGGTAATGGCGGTATCATCCGTCATGTTTCCCACTGTCAGAGTTTCATCCCTCCATCTCTTCAGAAATTGATTGAGGGTCTCTTTGACGTTCTGCTTCACGCTGGTCAGATAGCTGAAGAGCCGTTTGGGATTGGCACTGGAAGCAAACTGGGCCAAGAATAACGCCGATAATTCGGCGAAACTGTTGATTGACCCAGGTTGGAGTGTCCCGAACCACTCCTGGGCAGGCCCTCTGAGCGTGCTAAAAAACAACCGGCAAATAGCAGCCTCGGGTGCTCCTAGCAGCATGAGTCCCCCTTGGTAACTCCTCAAATGCACATGGGGATCTCCCACCCCGTCATAGATTTGGCCGGTCGGTGGCTTGGCACCCCCTTGGATGTCTGCGTACATGAGTTCCCTGGTGAAAGGGGAAGTAATTCCCAGCTGAACTGGGGCAGGTTGTACAGTCGCCTTGTTCATCTGATCCCGCATCTCGTTCATCTGCCTCCTCATCTCGGCCATTTCTTCCTCCTGGGCCGTCAAAGGGGGCGGTGGTGAAGCCCTCATGTCTGTATAGTCCCGGTCCCAATGCCGTTGAGGGGCCCTGGTATTATCCCGCTCGGCATACTGGAAATGATGACCAATGGGAGTTGGTCCCCTAGCTTGTGACCCGATCGGGGTTCGATCACTGGGACTATGATGCGCTGTTGGTGGGGCGCTACGGCGATTATCCCGATGGGCATGCGAACGGGATGACGCTGTGGTTGTTTCCGTGCGTGGAGTCTCCCCTGTAAAGCTGGACCCTCCTTCCTCCTCGTTCGCCATATGCTGCATGATCTGGGCCATATCTCGCATGGCCTGAGGATTTCTTCTCAGAGATTCGGGAATCACAAAATCCCCATCAAAACGAGGATATGATCCTCGGCTGGATTGTCCCTGAGGGTTTTGACTCCCCGGGGTGTGACTCCTTCCGTGACGGCGTGAACCGTCGTTTGTATGATAGGAACTGATTCTGACCATTTTTGAAAATAGTGGTTTTTTGGATGATTTGAATGTGAAACTTTTTGTAAGTTTCCCACAGACGGCGCCAATGTTGAGGGTAGATCCCGTAGATCCGAAAGCCCAACACGAACTTTGGATATATCAGGAATGACACAGAATCAAAGTGTATAAAAAATATAAGATATGAACTCACTAATACTCGAAAGCTCACTTGTATTAACTAACCAGTTTGATTACAAGGAATTTACCGATCGGTAGGTCGGAAACAATGCTTTAATACAAGAAATAAGAGCAATGATGCTATTCTAGAGCCTGAGTATTGAAATGCTAACCCTTACAATGATTTTAAACCTTCTATTTATACTAATGGAGAGCATGGGCTGCCCTGTGCTGATTGGCTGTTGCTCCACCGACTTGGTCACCCATGTTTCCACTTGCTGATGTCATAATCTGGCATTAATTGCACATGGCCACTTGCCGGTTGTCCGTTGCACGAACGGGATGTTGGACTATGCTGAAGACGCTGTCAAATTGGCCCAAGTATGATATATAGCCCGAACTCCGTTCGGTATATCTTCTTACTGGGCCAACCTTTATTTGGGCCGAATCTCGTTCGGCATGAATTCTTTACTAGATCTATTCATCATAGAGTGATGGGCCCGTTGCTTGGGCCGGATTTCTTGGGCCTTCTTGATTCGGGTATTGGGCCTCTAGGTCAATATCCCAACATGTATTTTGTTTAATTACAACAAAAGACACATGAACTTCTTTAATCTCTAAATATACACACAATTGAGAGCATCATAGAGGGGTTTAATGTGCTAAACCCCTCGTGGTATATAAATTGTGCACATTAACGTGCAAGTAAATTTGACAATATCTCTAATTTATACTAGAAATTTAACATTTTTCTTTTATTTAACAATTAAATTTATTTTTTGAGACGTTTATGAGCATGATTAATTATAATACAAAGGGTTTGATTCAGTTTTAAATCAAAAGAAGCTAATGTGCATTATTTATATATTACGATAGTGTTTGGCGCATTAGACCCATCACAAAGATAAAGATAACTTAAGTTGTGCGATTAAAATATAGCTAGAAAAGATAGGAATATTATATAGTGCATTATTTAAACAAAATTGAAAATAGTTTTAAGACGGACAAAAAAATGTAGATAATTTTGATAAAGTTTATAAAATTTACTTATGAAAATATACATTGAGCAATTCTATTTCCCTAAATAGAAGTAAGTAAAAGCAAAATTGCATGAATGGGAGTATGAAGTTCAATTCCTAAAATAGGTCACTCTTCCTATCTTACTTTTTCCCTTGCGGTACTTTAATAGATTTTTTTAATAATAATTAAACATAAAAAGTAAAAAAATAAAAATAAAAATGTAAAAAGTAAATAAAAATATACAGGACTCGTCCACCTTCCAGCACCACCGCCGCCAGTCATCTAGAAAAATGCTACCCTGGGGAATGTCATCGCGATGGCAATTTTATAAGTAAATTTTGATATTTTCTAAGAGAGAAATGTGGCATCGTTTACATAAGATGACAGTTTCCGGCAGTCGAAGGTGGAAAATGGTCTACATTTTTATGTATTTTTTAAGAGTTTTTATTTTTATTTTTATTGTTTTAAGTTTTTTAGACTCCGTATTGTTTTTATCTTATCTAATTTTATTGCCTTTTTATTCTAAATTTATAATTTTATTATGTTTTATTATAAATAAAAGGCTAAAGGGTCAAATAGGTCCTTGTACTCATATCAATAGCTCAATTGGGTACCCGAACTAAAAAAAGGTCCAATCCAATCCTCCAACTCTTCAAAATCGTTCAATTTTTTCGTTTTTCAAAGGCTAAAGGGTCAAATAGGTCTCTGTACTCATATCAATAGCTCAATTGAGTACCGGGAGTTTACCGGCTAAAGGGTCAAATTGAACGATTTTGAAGAGTTGGAGGATTGGATTGGACCTTTTTTTTAGTTCGGGTACCCAATTGAGCTATTAATATGAGTACAGTGACCTATTTGACCCTTTAGCCTAAATAAAACTATGAGTTTAATTAATAAAATAAGTCATATTGAAGATTATATAAAGGGATAGAATAGGAAGAGGGAACACATATATTTTAATATTTTGCCTATTTTAAGAATAAAAGATTATAATACTATTGTTACCTTTAGAAGTAATTTTACTCCTATTTAGGACTAATAGCCGTAATTATAAAGATCGTCAATCAACGATGTTCCCACTTCTCTACCCCATATTTGAATTCAAAAGCTCCACTCCGACGCCATCACAGTCCTCTCAAGAAGGCAGGGGTGAAACCAAATCTTTATAAAAAATGCTTAGTGTACACAAATTTTACATGGTATAAAAGTAAAAAAAGAGAATCTCATTTTCCCCCTCTTCTCTCTCTTTTCTCTCCTCCTTCTCTCTTCTCCCTTTCTCCCTTCTCTCTTTCCTCTTCGCTCAATCTCTTCTAAAATCCTCAAGAAAAAATGGGATGATCAATTTTTTTCATTATTTGCACAAAATCAGCTTATTCATCTTATTTCATCTATTCTTATTATTTTTCTAATTTTTTTTCAAATTACATGTAAATTGATTACACCTACAACTACATCATTCATTTGGATGTATATAGACAATTAATTATTTTGTTCACTCAGACAATTAAAATAGATCAGACCGACAACTAAAGTTGATCACACAGACAATTATTGTCTGTGAGCCACACAACTATTGCCTGTGTGGTAAATATTGTTTGTGCACACAGACAAATAATTGTCTGTGAAGCAGGAAAATATTGTCTGCACATATATAGAGTGATTTGAAAGCTGGTATCAGTGTGAGACGGCTGTCAGTATACTTTTTCACAAAAGTAAATGTATGTGGACACAGACAACTCTTGTCTATGCTCACAGGCAACTCCGTACCAATTGTCTGTGACCGACATTTTGTGTACAACTTGTGTACCCCTAACATTTCTGAATCTTTATGGCGTGACAGATTTCATGTCTGGCATAACAACTTTTGTACACACATTTTGTACACAACTACACAAGGTATCCCGTCAACACTCACTCAAGTGTAATTTTACATTAAGGTATTTCCAATTTTTTTAATGACTGCTCATTTTGCATTTGAATAATGCTCATCTCACTGGGCTCGTGTCTTTTTTGATCGGCTAGTTTTCATATACAGCACTCACAAGTCACATATAAAGAAGTCTCATGTTGTAGGAAGTAGGAATGCTCATCCCAAGTACTATGCACACGATAAAACTGAATCTACTATACAGATTCACTAAACTTTTGGAGTATTTTGTGAACTAACATGTTTATTTACTCCTTTTTGTTAGAATTCGCAATTTCATACCCAAATAGGAGTGGACTCGGGCCGGGCCAACCGGCCCAGAACCGGACCGGCCCGCTACTATGCGGGCCCGGACCGGCCCGGTGAACCGGTTGGTTGCCCGGTTCGGGCCACCCGGCCCGGTGGGATGGCGGCTCGGGCTCAAGCCCTTCAAAAGGTGAATCGGCCCGGCCGGTTTGGGCCCGGCCGGGCCAATTTATTATTTTTTTTTTTGAATTTTTTTTAAGTTTTTGGGTTGGGTTGGGTATTTTGGGCCATTTGAGGTCGTTAGGGTTTGTTTGGGGTGAGGGTGGAGGGTTGGGGGTTAACTAGGAAAAGCCAAAAAAAAATAGAACCGATGCCCGGTCCGGACCCGGGGGTTACCCGGGCCGGTTCCGGGCCTCCCCCTTCATGAACCGAGGCCCAGCCGGGCCCGAACCGGTCCACCCCTATACCCAAATGGGCAAGTTCGCACAGGAAAAGGACAATCATCGTTTTGGAAAATTCTTAGACCATGCCGAAATGGCTTGTGAGGCGCTGACATGGCTAACAACAAGAGGCAATTGGCTAAGCCAATCTCAAGAGTTGGAGGGATCTCCTGACAACAATCTACTCCCTCCTGTTCCAATTTCATTGGATACAGTGTTTAACAAGAGTAAGTGGTGTGTGTATTGATAAAAAGTGAAAAGGTCATAATACTTTAATAGGTGGACCTTATCCAACTAGGAACACTGATTTGAAAGAAATGGACTGATGCACAAGAAGAACCACAATGTAGCAGTTTATGATTATGATTAGTTGTTTGGTCCGATCTTGACTTGAAGAACACACTTTTAGTGATTCCACCCTGGAGAGTTGCTGCTACCATCTTGCCTTGATGAGCACACTTCTAGCGACTCTTTGCTAGAGGCAGAACTTCTGGGGTCCACCCATCCACTGAAAATGAGTGAGTCTTCTTATCAAGCAACACAGTCCACTAACAGCTGGAATAAGACATCAGCTCAATTGAAGCGAATGCTAGCATCACCACAATCAAATGTCGAACTCTGGAAATGCCACATTCATGCTTGACTTTTAACTGCAAACAATTTGCATGCCCATTTGGTAACTTTACTTTCTGCTTATCAGCCTTATAACCCATATTTTTCATTAAGCACTAAGTTACTAAACTGCACTGGCTGAATCTGCAGCTGATAACAAATAAAATTATTGAAAACTTACATGGTGGTGAGGGGGTCTGTCTACCTGGTCATTGAAAAGCCTTCTGAAGTGTGGCAAATTGGCCATCGTCAATTCTGTTGACTTCCAACTAGGTCGTGAAGAACCTGTGAACAGCAAATGTTTGCCACTCTACTTAGTAAAGTGGGTAAAGTTCCACCTTTTTGCCTTCTTTAGTTAATGAAAAAAGAGATACAAAGTGAAGGGGGTACCCGGCATAGTGGTTAAAGTAGAAAATGCAGCTTCCATCTACTGCAAAACTCATCAGTTTTGTAATCATCAAACTCTTAGCCAATAAATCTGACTTCACTAGATTATCAAACAAATAAAAGGAAATAAGTCAAGTTTCTACAAGTACCGAAATGACAACAAACGGTGTATAGCTAAGAATTATCTGACCATAAGACACACCTTTCAAAAACATGGCATAGTAAAAGCTTTAAACAGGAAAGTAAACCATATCAATTTCCACAATAATGCAATATCTTGAATCAGAAAACTAACTTATTAACAAATTTCCACCAATATGATATATCATGCTGAAGACATCACAGTGAGTATGAACTTTACCAAATGTTTACCAGCAGTAGAGGCTTTATACAATAATCTTCAAATTCATAGTTGGAATGCATCATCATCACACATGCTCAAAGTCCATTAACTATGTCTGAAATCCTTCCTCGCAATTGCTATCATTGGAGACAAACTTCAATGTAGTGCTACTGGTAATCCAGGCAGTAAGTTGAGGTTGGTGTTCAAAAGGCTTTAGAGGATGCAAAGTTCCATCCTCCAATTGTACACCATAAACAAATGGAAGCCTAAGCGATAGGAAACTATCTGGGGCCAAAACCACCGGACAGCTTAGGCTAAACTGCAATTTTGTTTCGCGGTCTGGGATAGATGGGGGAAGGCAAGATACCTAGTAAGTTGATGAAATAACTTTTTAGTAAAAGGGGAAAAAGCAGTACTTGCAGGTGAAACAACTCCCAAGTAAAATACTAAAATGTGAGTAAAACTAAGTACCAATCACACTCAGTAAAGAGATACTACGTATTATAAAATATTAGGAACAGTAAAATGTCCAACACAACATCAAGGAGTATCTGACAACCATTGAAGTACTTTTCGGAGTACTCAAAAAAAAGATACAAGATTGAAAGCAGAACTGAGGAATATATATGAGAATCAAGTTCTGAAAATAAACCCACAATTAAAGACAATTGTGTTAGGGTTAAACCATTGAGACATACAGAAAGAGAGAGTGCACCAACTTGCCAACCACAGGAAGTTGTCCATCCAATGATACGACAAGAGCAGCACCAAGTGAAATGAGGCATTGTGGCCATTGAAGGGCAGATGTGGATTCAGTTGTCTTTTAGTTTTGCAATGTTTCTTTTAATTCTCTTTGATGCATTCACTAATAACTACCACCATTTAAGTTGGACTGAATGAGTGTGAATTCATTCTTTGAAAAGACAAGGACATGAATGTATCATTGTTTGTCAAGAATGCTTCTTACTCATTAGTGAATAAAATGTTGATTCAAACATGCCCAATGCCCCAATATTTTCTATTCATGTAACAACTACTTAGTTCCCTGCTTTTTCATCTTTGAATTAGTTACAAAGCCTGCCTTATCATTAATCATATCCTAATAGAGGACCCCTGCTGCACTTAGTGGGTTATTGGATGATACACATAGGCCATATAAACTAATGATTCAGATGAGTTAAAATGGCCAGTGTTGGACGAGCTTATTCCTTGTGGTTCTTTTCATAATTCGGTCCATGTTCCACTATCATTGATCAGTCTGTCTACTTCGTAGTGATAGATGGGAGTTTTATTTATTTATTATAACTATTCAAAAAATTGACGGGATGGAGGAGGATAATGAGAAATCTTAAAGCCTAGCAGTTGTATTAAAAGTTACCTCAAACTGTATAACTGGGCATGCTACTAGGACAACAGGAAAAGGAGGTGTAACCTGCAAATAAAAATGCATACTTAGCAGAGTTGCCTAATAAAAATAATGAGTAGTTCTATAAATAAAAATCCAAAAATAAAGGAAACATGTCTACAACTGATGTCGCAGTATAAACAAGCGAGAAAATGGGATAGGAATAAGGAAGACATGAGTGTGTGAGACTCCCAAACTCTCATATATGAAAAACATGTAATGTGCGCCACATGCAGAAATATTGCAAAACTCATACTCCGTAACATATTTATCAAAAACCATAACTGCAAAAATATGCCACTAAAGGAGTTTTGGAGAAAAGGAGAAGGCACCAGAAGTAAGACTATAAGGTGTAATAGAGATATGCATACGAAAAAGGATTTTCAGAGGCAATCATTTCTAAGGTCAACCATATCCCACTTAATTTGTTCCGTCTTACCAGCAAAGCAATGACATCGATAAAACTTAATGTATCAATTTCCACAGCCACATTCCTTGTCAAGCATATTTTAGCACAAATGATTTAAAACACAAAAATGTTTGCTCCTGAGCAGCAAGTGTGAGTACAAAATCGAATGCTTAATTTAAAAGAAAACACAAAAATATAAAGATGAAATCATTTCAGATAGCTTGTATTAAACTGGATTAGAACTATGAAACAACTGACAAATTAATTAAAACATCCCGATTCCTACCACAAAAATCCTCTGAAGCTGTGAAACACTGCCTGCAAATTTAGTGTCCGTCTCGTCATTCTTATTTTTGGACTCCACACAGTGCGGACAGTTCATGTATAGTGGCAAGTTTCTATCCAGCAAGGATAAAGTGGAGGAAGCACCAGAAAGACTGTGAGGTTGAAGGCCAGGATCAAGATCTTTTCCAAGTGCAGAACCTTTTATGGTACTAGTTTGTTCTTTGGGAGGCTTGGAAGAATGCATCGGTCCATCCACATAACCATAGCCATTATATGTTCTCTCTTTTGACTTCTCCAAGTTCCTAGCCCGACTAGATGGAGAAGAAATTATTCCATTCAATTGACGGAGGCTTTTACCATGACCTCCACTCTTACCCACTCTGGGAGGTTCTGCCATTTTATGGTTTTCTTCACGGTCAAATGTAGCAGGGGATTCTTCAGTGACCAAATACGGAGCGCCAAGTTCATTAAGATGCTCTGAAGATAATATAAACCGGTGCCCATGAGGACATTCGTGTTCAAATCCAAAGTAGACGTTTGCATGTTTCAAAGAGGTAACTGTTTTAACTTCTGAAGCGCTGTTAATATGCATTGAAAATGTACCACTTTCCGAAAACGGATTGGCTTTACCTGATCCATTAGAAAGAGCAACATTACCAATCACAGCTTTATCAATGGCAAGAGTAACTCTTACTTTTTCAGATTCTTGACCAGCACTGATTTCATTAACCTTTTCTCTGTTTCTGTCTTTAGCACTTTGTTGTTTAATACCCACAAAAGACTGCTGAGGATGCATTTTTGACTGGAGAGGAGGGAATGCTGAACCTGAACTCGATGATCCAGCAACCACCTCAGAGAAAGGTTTCCTCATAGTAAAGTTGGAATGTTTTTTACCAATGTAGTTAGTCATATCTTCACCTTTAATATCACATAGAGAAGACTTTCTCTGTATCCTCGCTTCTCCTTGCATTTCATTATCATGCAACCTTGTAGCATCAATCTGGTCATCCATTGCGTCTGCATTAAAACCATTCTTGGATTTACTATGAAACGGGTGGGAAGAGACTACTGGAAAATTCTTTTGAAGTGAAGCATTTAATATTTTTGGTTTCTCAAGCAGGACAGACCACTTAGAGAGAAACTTATGAGTGGCACTAAAGCCACTCTGGATTAACCCTTTAGATGGTTGATAATACCGAGCGTTCCCAACTCGAACTAAATTCCAAGAAGAATGCTGAACAGGGCCAATCACACTTCCACGAGGAGGCTGGAGCATGGGAAGTAGCTTATCACAATCCATAGAACAGTTAAAAGTGACATTAGCTGTTTCAAAATCAAAAGGATCTGATCTCAGCCGTCTTGAACGGCCACACGCACAGGCGTGAAGGAAAACAAATCCGCTAGAATGTTGAGTGTCAGTTTCATCATTGTGTCTAGGATGCATACATGGTTTTCCTGTAAGACTGACCGCATCACATAGCTGTCTTCCAGAACTCCATATGGATGTGCATTGGTCTTCTAATTTTTGTGTGTACAGATGTACAGCGGGTCCTTTGACCATTGACCGAAAAGCAGAAAGAGCACTCTCCAAATGGGCAACATGTTGAGAAGTCGAGTAGCATGGAGGCAGACTGTTCAAATACACCTCCTTGGCTGCCGAAAGGGCCTTTTGGCACCATAAAGTAGAAAATCTGGTGTTCAGTCCTCTACCACTTGATAAATAATAAACTGCCGTTTCAAGAGGATCACTCACTTTTGATGCAATGCCTTTAATTGGTGGTGAAACAGAATTCTGCCGACGGGGTTTCACCTTAATGATTTCCTTTTTATCTATACATTCATGCTGAGAGGAGAGGATTGCATGCAAAATAAGTTGACTAGAAGAAAACCAGATGTCCAGACATGGTAGTTCTGGAGTGGTGAAAATTCTTCCAGAAGCAGCAGAAGCAGAGGCGGCAGCGGCAGCTGCAGCTGCAGCAACCATGCCTATGCCGGTAGCTGAACTACTACTGGTATTAGAAACAATGCTCCCCCTTCCTCTTAATATACCCAACTGTCTGCAGATGAACTCCTTAACAGACAGAATGTCTTCTTTGGTAGCACTGCGATTGTGGCATTCAACCAAAAGAGCATCTGAAGACGCCTTTCCACATAGAATATCTTCAACAATGCTGGAAGCATACTCAAGTGCTTCACCTTTCTGAATTGAAGATATATCAACAAGCACAACCGCTTTTGAAGCATCGAGGGAGAACAAAGGAACTGAGTTAGACAAAGCAGCATTCCTTCCTCTATAACTGTTATCGGATCCTGAGAGTATCCGACTTTTTTTTATTGAGAACCGGATTTGTGCCTCAAGGGATGATTGCAGTTTCTTTCCTGACCCACCTTCAGATTCATTAACAGGGCGTGCAAGCACAACTACTGAACCAGGTCCTTTTGTAGGAAAGTTTGGCCTGAGGGAACTACTCATGTTTGGTGATTGGTCAAGAGATGGAACCTCTATTGGCTTCTCAACACTAGAACCAGGAATATTATCTAAGAATTCATCAAGGTAAACAAAAAGTGTAACTGGAGTACATTGCCCTGGTAATAAAGAGGCATATGAACCTAATCCTGGCATTGATGTTGTGGCCGAAGTATTGCGACTCAAAGCACCTCGGCTATCAAGATGGGAGTAATTGTTACACAGTGTTTCTGATCTAGGAATCCGTGACGGAGATGAGAAACGGGAGCCAGATGATGATGGTGGCATAGTTAGTGACTTAACATATGGACTCATTGCATTTTTGGCAGCTTGCAGAGTGCGGAATTTCTTAAGTGTTTGGGTGTCAAAATGTGATCCTTCTTGAATAAAAATTACTACATGGCAAACCTGCAAAACTAATACAGATTGAATCACTTAACATACAAAGAAGAAAATGAGATGCAATAAATGAAGACATGAAGTAACAGTCGCTAATCTAAAACCAAAGACAAAAGATTCCAAAGGCCCGAGGAGCCTACGGTTCCTTGTTTGATCCCATAAAACTTATCTTCCTAAACAAGGTTAAGTAAGAAAAGAAACCCCAGGCTTTTGAGATAGGAATATGTCCATAATAACAGAAATAGACTTTTATATATATAACCCTTTGAAAGGTGTATACATTTATAACTTAATTCAAGTGAAACATCATAACCTTAATACATAAACGTAATAAAACCTCATGACCTCAAGACATAGATATTATCTATTCTATATACACACAAACAAATACTCCATCTGTTAAAAAAGGTTCCTGGTTTGACTTGACATGCATAGTAAGAAGCCTAAAATTATGTGGTCGAGATTTATGTAGAAGAGAGAAATATAATGTGCCACACAGTTCTTTCCTTAAAAGAAATAGGGACCTATTTACGGAACAGACAAAAAAACAGAACCTTATTTTGGGACGGATGAAATGAGAAACGAAGCACAGATCAATGCCACACTTACATTGCCATATAACAAAGAGGTAGGTTGGTTACCTACTCCAAATCATGAATGAACATTAACAAGAACTGAATGAGCCGGTTATATACTTTCCTCTTTTCATTCCCAGAATGGCAGATTATTCTGAATATTTTTTTCCACCAATACATGATCAACTAATAAATGGCACCAAAGCCAAGAAAAAGGAAAGTGTAGTAGTATCTCTTTTTGTTAAGTTGAGGTTGCAGAATGAAGCATTCACATTGAGGTTAAGTTTATTAGATAAAAACTTGTTTATGGCAACAAGATATTTTTAACTTCAAGATGTCTTGAATGAGTTAAATCTCCTTTTCTCCAGTGACTTAGTTCACAGAGACGTCTAGGTTTCTCCTGTTAATTCATTAAGATTTAGGACTTTAATCATTTTCATTATATTTCACAATAAAATGAGTATATTTGTTAACGGATAAGCTAAATAGAAGTGCAAATGTGATCAAGGAAAACTGACAGAGAAGATAAAGAGCATAGCCTGAAGATCTCCGAACTCATAGTCCTCGAATATGGAATCGAAACCCATACGAGATTCCGTATCCACCTCCATCGCAGGACATCTGGTCGACGAGAACTGTAAGTACAAAATCCCCTTTTCGTCATCATGGTAATAGCTGATATCCCTTGACCTGAACCAGCTCTGAACTTCTTCGCCAATTTCCAATCTGTCGATGCGAAACGGCCTGTCTAGACCCCCCGAACCGAAGACATTGGAGTCGATAATTCTGTTGATTAAGCCCGTGACATCGGCCTGACGCTTCCCGATGAATCCCACAACTGCAACTCCGTTTAGCCGATGAGGAAGCGAGGTGGGTAAAGGAGGGTTAGAGCCATGTGCAGGGGCTGGGGTTGGGGATCGAATGAGGACTCGCATTGGTTGGCAATTGGGGAGCTTTTGTGAGTCCATTGGAGATGGCGTCTGGCCGTCTGGGAGACGTAAGATAGCAGTTGTAGTTTTACATGGGCAGTGGACAGGCTGACGGAGGCGGGGGACGGTGGCCGCAGCGGTGACTGGCCGGAGGAGTTAAATTGGTTGTGAATCTTTGCTGTTTTGACTCCAAGATGACGAGACACGAGATTGATTTTGGTCAGCGTTTAAAATCAGATAGAGTTGCCCACAAAAATAATGTAAGAGCCGGTTTGGTAATAATGTAATAACAACGCACAACTAACTGTAATTACATTTAATTATATATTAGTAAACATTATAAAAAATTGATATTTTGAAAATTTACATTGATAGTAATTCAATAACATTTTATACGAAATAATTTGATTGTGTATATTAGTATAAAATCGTGATCAAAGTAAGGTATGTGAATAGTACAAAAGTCACAATGTTGCAAGAATTAAAGAACAGAGGAAGTATACTCCGTATATTGTCAGATTCTAAAGAAATTTATGAAGTTTTACTTAAATAATTGGGTTGACTAATTCTACTAATTAGTGAAAAAATTGTATTTAGAATATATTTTATTAAAAATATGAAAAACATTATATGAAAAATAGCTAAAATATGTTGAAAAATGTGTTAATAAATTGCATTAAATTGTCATTTGGGGTAATTTTTTAGTGGGTTCCACTTCCGATTTGTGTGTCTCGGAAAAACGAAGAAATATTAATTAAATAAAATTAATTAATAAATAAAATAGGTAAAAGAAAACAGAAAATAGATGGAACAGAGTTTAGTCAGAGCCCGTGCTACGCACGATGTCCTTAAAACGTATTCGTCGCCTCCCACTGTGCTAGGAGCGTTGCAACGACCGTTTCCCAGGATACGGTGGCTAACGAACGATCGTTTGAGCACACAAAGGAAAGTCCCGGCGAACTGGAACAATAGCAGAACACTTGGGAAATTTTCAGAGAGCTGAAAGTGTTTTTGAGAGCTAAAATACGTGTATGATTGGTTGTGAACGTTGTTTGTTGCAAACCACCTGCCAGCCATTTATGGATTTGTTGTGTGTTAAATGGGGTGTTAATAGATCTGAACGTTGGACATCAATGACCAGTCCGTTGGGCATTGAATCGTCCATAAACTGTCCATTTAATGCGGCATTAAAAGAGAAGAACGTTGGGCATTTATTGCTGTAACGGACCAGAAGACCTTCTGATGCGGATAGTTCTGGAAAAAATAAAACGTTACGGGAAGAACCAAAAATTAGACTGTATCTTTGAATGATAGATTTTTCGGACGACATTCGTGTCCGCAGGTCGCCCGAACACACGAGTCACATTTTTTCTTCTCTGTTTCGGGATTTGATCGACACCCCCCCTGCGCGTAAGAGAGAGCCTTTACCTTTAGAAATCTTAACTCCTTAAAAGAGGTTTCCCTTTATAAGGGGGTGAAAATCCCTTGAGTTTTCCGGTGTGGTATAAAACACACTAGAAACCCATCATTTTCCCAGTTTTTCCATTTCAACGAGTGAACTTCGAGAATCAATTTCTCATTCACCCGTTATCCGTTTTGAGTGTACCACATATCGAATTGTAGCCCTTAACAAGGACAATCCAAAACCACTTTGATCCGACCCAAATTGGAAGTGGACCCCACTCAAATAATTGCCCCAAAATGACCATTTAATGCAATTTTTAACACATTTTTCCAACTATCCTCCACATGAATGAAAATTGATTTTCGAGACTTAAAAAGACACGAAGATAGGAGGACACGTTGTGTTCACCGGATGATCCTTGCATACGGAGAGGTAGGTTTTATCCTTCGAACCTTCCGTTGTAAAGACACGTTTATTTACTGGCTGTCTAGTAGACTCAATGTCCTTGAACTATATTGCCGTCGTGTAAACATTGACTTATCTTTACACAATAACCTTCCAACTTTGTTCCGTTCTCATGGGTGTGCCCGTTTTGGCCATGGGTCACCGTCCTGGTTCTGCAAGAGTTTCTAAAGAACTGAGCCTATACAGTTCTCCTTTGAAGCGACCCTCTTCTCTCTCACATAGGTGATTATTTCACGAGTATCCCGCATACTCTTCCAATGTTATCGAGTAGATCAACATTTTAGAATCATTAAAGCAAACATTTTTGCTAACCTCGTGCGGGAGTCATTGTTTTAAACGAGGATTGGGTAGGAGTCCGGGACCCCCACAGTGACCATCCTTCGCTCTATAATTTAGTTGTCCCTTTTGAACCTAGGACCAACTAGGTTGGGTATCCACTATAGAACTTTTCAATTCACGGGCTTTAGTCCCATTCCTCGTGACAACTTCTCCAACAATTCTCTATCCAATTCCTTGGTTAGCGGATCCGCTATGTTATCCTTTGACTTCACGTAGTCAACAGTGATAACACCCATTGTGAGGAGTTATTTAATGGTGTTATGTCTATGACGAACGTGTCTAGACTTACCATTGTACATATTGCTCTGTACCCTTCCAATTGCCGCTTGACAATCGCAATGTATGCATATTGGAGGGACAGGTTTTCCCAAGTTGGAATATCCTCGAGAAAATGGCGTAGCCATTAAGCCTCTTCAGTGCACTTATCCAAGGCTATTAGCTCAGAATCCATCGTGGATCTAGCTATTAACGTTTGTTTTGAGGATTTCCATGACACGGCTGCACCTCCCAAAGTGAAAACATATCCACTTGTGGACTTGGAGTCCTTTATGTCGGATATCCAACTAGCGTCGCTATACCCTTCAAGTACAGTTGGATATCTTCCATAGTGTAGTCCAAGGTTTTGGGTTTTACGTAAATACCTCAAAACCCTTATTATTGCCTTCCAGTGTTCATCACCGAGGTTGCTAGTATATCTACTTAACTTACTAACCACAAAGGCAATATCAGGCCTGGTACAACTCATTAGATACATCAAGCTTCCAATAATCCTACCGTATTCTACTTGAGAAATACATTCTCCACGATTTTTGGTAAGTTGTATGTTTTTATCTAATGGAGTCCTTGCCTCTTGATAATCATCCTAAATAAATTTCGTAAGGATTTTATCAACGTAATGGGATTGGCTTAGCGTTAGACCATCAGGTCCTCTAATTATTTTAATCCCAAGGATTAAATCGGCCAGCCCCATATCCTTCATGTCAAATTTAGAATTTAACATTTTTTTTGTAGAATTAATCATTAGATTATTGCTACCCACGATGAGTATATCATCCACGTATAAACATAAAATGACATAGCCGTCTACCGTGCTCTTCACATAGACACATTTGTCACTTTCGTTTATTTTGAAACCATTAATTAACATTGCATGATCGAACTTTTCGTGCCACTGTTTAGGGACTTGTTTCAATCCGTACAATGATTTAATTAATTTACACACTTTCCTTTCTTGGCCAGGATCACGAAAGCCCTCGGGCTGTTCCATATAGATTTCTTCGTCTATATCGCCATTTAGAAAAACGGTTTTTACGTCCATTTGATGAACTTCCAATTTCCGCAATGCGGAAATTGCTAGTATCATCCTAATGGAATTTATTCTCGTCACAGGAGAATACGTGTCAAATTAATCATGCCCCTCACGTTGCTTGTATTCCTTGATTACAAGTCTGGCCTTGTACTTATCGATGGAACCGTCAGGTTTCATTTTCCGTTTAAAAATCCACTTGGATCCCAAAGGTTTATTTCCCGGAGGAAGATCAACCAATTACCATGTGTGATTTTTAAGGATAGAATCCTAGGTCACCTCACTTTTGATGGCTTCTTTCCACATAGGACCTTCGGTAGACGTCACGGCTTCGGTATAAGTCCGTGGTTCATTTTCTACCAAACATGTTAGAAAATCCGGTTCATTTTCTACCATACATGTTAGAATATCTGAGTCAACTTCTACCAGGTAGGTGAGAAAATCCGATCCGAAGGATTTTTCAATTCTAGCACGTTTGCTATGTCTGGGTTCGGGTTCTTCTCCAGAGCCCTCGCTAGTATTTTCCATAGCTACATCAAATGTTCGTTTTGACGTGCTTGGTCCTTCGTTGGACTTGCATGGAAATACGTCTTCAAAGAATGATGCATTCCTTGATTCAATTATTGTGTTTTTATGTACATCCGGATTATTCGAATCGTTCACTAAAAACCGATAAGCACTACTATTTTGTGCATATCCAATAAAAATACAATCCACCGTTTTTGGACCTATTTTTATTTTCTTAGGTGTTGGTACAAGCACTTTTGCCAAACACCACCACACTTTTAAATATTGATAGGAAGGTCGTCTGCCTTTCCACAACTTGTACGGAGTTTTATCATATTTTTTCCGGGGAACCTTATTTAAAAGGTAATTGCTTGACAAGACTGCTTCGTCCCACATATTTTGTGGCAGGCTCGAACTTACTAGCATCGCATTCATCATATCTTTCAATGTTCGATTCTTTCGTTCGGCAACACCGTTTGATTGAGGTGAATAGGGTGCAGTACGTTCATGTACTATACCCACGCTCGTGCAAAAGTCACCAATTGGTGCTTCATACTCACCACCTCGATCACTTCTAACCGCTTTAATTCGTCGATTAAGTTGGTTTTCTACTTCATTCTTATAAAGAATGAATTTATCGATTGCTTCGTGTTTATTTTTTAATAAATAAACATAGCTATAGTGAGTGCTATCATCGATAAAAGTAATAAAATATTTATTACCACCACATGTTTGTATTGATTTAAAATCACAAACGTCACTTAAATTAATTCAAGTGGTTCCGTTTTTCTTTCAACCAATTTGAAAGATGTTTTCGTTGGTTTTGCCTCTACACAAACTTCACATTTGTGCTTCACATCAATTTTGAATTTAGGAATGTGCTCCATGTTAATTAATCTACGTATAAAATTAAAATTAACATGTCCTAGTCTACCATGCCACACATTAGAAGACTCAAGCAAGCAAGCAGAAGGGATTTTATTATTATTATTATTAATAGTCATTACATTGAGCTTAAACAGCCCATCAACTGCATATCCCTTGCCCACATACATTCCCGATTTAGACAAAACTAATTTGTCCGACTCAAAAACCATGCGGAAGCCATGCTTGTTCAACAACGAGCCGGAGATCAGGTTTTTGCGTATCTCCGGAACGAACAACACTTGGTTGAGAGTCAGCTCCTTGCCCAAAGTCATCTTCAGGACCACTTTGCCCATGCCTTCAACCGCGGAATGAGAAGAATTTTCCATCCACACCTTCTCACCGTTTG